ATTGCCTAAATGATGTAGGCATTATTCTTAAGTCCTAGGATTTAAGCTTAAATCCTGAAAAATATGTCAAGGCATTAATCTTAGAGCCTAAAATGTAAATGCAAGTAAATAAAAAGACATTTATTGAAAGTAAAAATACATTTGGAACATTATAACATGATAAGAACTGATGTTTAAACTACCTGAAACAAAGCCACTAGTTCTGGCCCCTTTAGTTTTAACTCGGATATAACCAAAGCTGTAAATTCACGACAATTGTCACTTTGCAATTTATGGGGCGCACAAAAAATTGTGAAAACATCATTTAAATCGAAGTCCACTCTGAAGCACATTTTGACTCGAGAGCTCTAATTTTACAAATTTTTGTTAGGTGTAAGTTTATCGAAATTGATAGTTTCCATCAGGGTTTGATTGGAAATCCATTAAATCAACCTGTCCTCTACTGTTGAACTCGTTGGATAAAATGGGTTTCACTACTACTCCCTTCCCTAGTTTTTCTTCATGTTACAATTTTTACAAAGTGAAAGAAATAGTTTGATGGAATTACGAGAAATATTTGCATAGCCATGGAATCACGAGAAATATTTGCATAGCCATGGAATCACATAAATATTTGCATAGCCATGGAATCACGAGAAATATTTGCATAGGCATTATTAAGTTGGTTAAATCATACGGTCTCTGTCGCTATGACCTGTTTATGTGCCTTTTCCAAAGTACCATACAGTTCCTGTGGAATTTGTTTTAAATTTTCTTCATCATCCTCCTTTGTTTTACTTTTTACCTTTCAAAGCTTCGAATGCTAAAAATTCCATACCTTTTTTAATTGTGGTAGTCTATAGTTGTCGTATTTTCTGGGGATTCTAAACGGTAAAAGTTTAATCTTTGCCAAAATATCATTATACTATCTAGGGTATATGCTCCTTGTTTTCACTGATTACAATTTAGACTGCAATGATTCTAGAAATGTGTCTTCAGTAGACATGTCACTTCAAAGCTTATAATACAGATTATGAAGTGAAAAAGACAATATTGCCTGGGGGCATCTAATAAAATTTTTAACAATAATGTTTGTCATACCCAATAAAATCAATGGAAAGATGATGTGAGTAAAAGTTCATATCTACATTTGTCTACTTTTGATCAGACCAAAACCAGCTCGACCTGTGAAGTGCGAGTTTTCTTCAAATAATTTTCAGATAGAATCATAAATCCCCATCCTTTCATTAGATACAATCACTTGTTTAAAACAATTTGTGTTATACCACAAAGACATGCAAGTTAATTTTGTTAAGAATATGAAAAAATACTAAAATTTGAAGATCTGTTAAGTTAATGTATATTATTTGGAATATAATATAAACAATACTTTACATCAAGAATATTTCAACGAATGTACATTTATAAGAAGATAAAGCAAAAATCCCAGAGTTCACTTATTGCCTGAAATTATGTTTGGCAAAAGGTTGAATAATCAACATCAGATTTCAGGAAATAAAAGACCCCGAAATGACAAATGTAAAACAATTCAAACAAGAAAACTAACGGCCTAATTCATGTACAAAATAATGAACTAAAAACAAATATATTTCACAGCAACAAACGACAACCACTGAATTGCAGTCTCTCTACTTGGGACAGGCACATACAGAATGTGGCAGGGTTAAACTCGTTTGAGGGCGCCAACCCTCCCCTAACCTGGGTCAGTGGTGTAACAGTACAACATACAAACAAACTATAAAAATCAGTTGAAAAAGGCTTAACTTATCAGATGGATACAAAATAGAAATACATCTAACAAAAACAAAGAGTGGACATGGATTGGTACTTATACATTCCCACAACGAAAAGACACTAAGTACAGATCTGAGAGTATTCGCAGTTACTGACAGCTAGTTCAAGCCAATAACAACTAATAAAAAAATCAACCATCTAAGACTAAAATATCAATCATTACACATCCAACATCCAATGAATTTAGTGTACAGACGTCATAAACAGTCGGAGAAAAACTTGACCTTGTGCAATACCAAGATACAGGTATCGGCAGACTGTAGATTCATGAATGTGCATATGTATATAAAAATAATATTTAGTTTTATTTTAATTTACTGATAACAAAATCAATATTAATGCCAATAAAACAATATTCAAAGATCTAGTTACAGTGTTGAATTGGTAACCTTTAAGAATAAGTTAATTTAAAGGATCGATAAGTTTACCCGGATCGTTTTCTAAATTTCAGGTCTCGGTAAACAACATCTCCGTAAAAATGAGGATGTGCTATCCCGTTTAAAAATAAGTTTTACAACCAAACTTCAAAACCAAATCTTTATATCTTTGGAAGAATTTAGTAAAGGCTTGAGTAATATTTGTGGTAACGAACCGTGCTTTATAATTTACCAGTAATACATAGATTACGTTCATTGAAATCCAAAACGTCACAACAGACACGGGCATAGCGAACGGGTTGTGATATATAAACACCGTAAGGTGGTGCCAAAGGAACATCACCGTCATTTTAATTCTTAAATGGATCTATTTTAAAAGCATATATGCTAGGTAGAACAAACGTCTTCATACTGGCAAAGTCAGGACATTTGGAGATATTGTCAAAATACGATGACTTTATGCATTTATTTCGAACTAAAAGCTTTAAGAAAACCTTGGCCACAATCTACGATCCAAAATATGCTGTAATCAAAAGGTGCCAAGGTTGATAACATAAGCAACACGACGGGTGCCACATGTGGAGCAGAATCTGCTTACCCTTCCGGAGCACCTGAGATCACCCCCGGTTTTTGGTGAGATTCGTGATGCTTAGTCTTTGGTTTTCAATGTTGTGTCATCTGTACTATTATTTGTCTGTTTGTCTTTTTATTTTTGGCCATGGCGTTGTCATTTTGTTTTCGATCTATGAGTTTAACTGTCCCTCTGGTATCTTTCGTCCCTCTTTGATATTGAGTCCTTATAGACGCAAACATGTTTGGATCAGGGATGGCGGCCAAGGTAAAGTATGGTAAAAACTGTTATGAATTAGGAAAAAATAGACCACAGGTTGACGTAAAAACACAAATAATGCATTATCAAGAGGCATATCTTCGTTATTTATAATGTGAGTTGCTCAAAAGAAGTCATTTTGTATAAATAGAAATATCTGAACCATTAGATACGAAATTTTAGCATTTTGGCCTGATTCTAAAAACATTAAAATCTTAGTGTTAATATTAGCCTTTCGTGAACCTTCTCCTTTATTTGTTATCATACCTACCGTAATCAAATTAAGAATGCAAAAGTTTAAGCTTGATTATTTGTTATACATTTTACTTATTTTTTTTAATTATCGTTTTTCGTGTAACCTTCATTTTATTCATATTGTTAAAATCTAACAAGGCCTAGATAAACGATTGTGTTATTTAAAACGATCAGATTTTTTTTACCCAAGGGATTGATGGCCTCAGTAATATTTGGAACATTTTGTCGGAATTTTTTATTTGAAATTTTCTTTAACTTTTTGTTTGATTTTGCCTTCCCTTTTTTAATAAAGCAACACTGATGAGTTTCACATTGTATGTAAAAGAAACGCTCGTCTTGTTTAACAAATGATAAACCTCGTATATTTTGTGAGGTTTTCCACTTTCAACCAAATTACTTTTAAAATTAAGATATAAACTAATGTTTCTTTTATTACGATCTTATCAATCTGTTTTGTTTTGATATATATTAATATGCATTCATATGTCTTTTTAAATCCAGAAGAAATTTTGGTTCTTGACAAGCAACATATGTAAAATGTACGGACAATCTCCGGAAAATGTTTGTTATCTCTGCAAACGTTTTGTAGTATACATCTTGGTTAACATATTTTGCAACCTTGAATAATTAAATTTGCTTTATGACAGTAGATTAGCTCAATATTGGGGATTTGCTATTTCATGTTTGCTGATGAATCTCAAGTAGGTGTGATTGGTACAGTCTCGTGTACCTATTGATTTATTAACATGTATTCCGTATTGCATTTCAAATTTTACTGAGGTAAGAATGTACTGCCACCTTTTCATATACAAAAATGAAAAGAAGGGAATTATAATTTATTATCGACAGAGGGTATCTTCATCTCTTTGGATGGATCTACTTTTCTTTTGGACAGAGAGAGACAGTGATCCCAATTATCAATACATGTTCTCACTATGCACTGGAGATATTTAGAAAAACCTTTCTAACTTGGATTTGCACTTATTGATAATCTTACAAAAGGATGGCTCATATTTTCCTTCAGTACCTCAGTTCATAGCAGGATGACTGTTTTGATATACATTATCCTATTTTAAGGCGTTTCGAAAATAAAATTTCTGTCAACCACCAAATAATTTTGTCATACAAATGAAAAATACAAATAATATGAAAATGTGTCAAAAATAACATTTAAAGAAATTCCGAGATAAGAATTATCTTTATAATCAACTCAAAGTTGATCAATATCAATGCAACATGGAGAAAAGATATTTAAATACGGTATATTTGTAATGGTTTTACTTTTCTAGGTTTAAGTGCTAGAATAAAAAAGATACTCTAAGCAACCGATTACAACAGCGTTGTTTGTGAGGATATAACTTTAAAACTGTATTATAAAATTGAAATTATGACATATAAAATTTGTGATACAAGTTTAAGGGGGATACAAATATTTTCTGCATTGGATAAGGGAATATCTAACATTTTTGCAATAATGAAGGAACAACAATAAGTCCAATCCGTGGGAAACAATTACTGACAGAGACAACCTCCCTGTTGGGGTCAAGTGTTAATAAAACAATATTCATTGTTGTTGACATAAATAGAAAGGAAACTGAAAATACTTTTTGCGTCATTATAGTTTGGATATTGTATTGTGAAGGTACGGTAAATATGGCTACCACTTTAGATGGAGGAACGGAACTGGCCGAGTTTAAACGAGTTTGTATTATCGCCTACATCAACAAGGAGTGGGTCGATGACATTCAATAAAACTAATGATGGGCAAGTGTTCATTGGTTTTTATGTAATTCTTCCTTATTGTAACTGTAAATAAAAAGGAGTCTGGACATGATAGTTTGGATATTATATTGTATTGTGAAGCCACGGTTAATATGGTTTCCAATGTATATGAAATGCTAAAGTATAAAGACGAGAATGCGTACGATGAACTTCAGAACGGAGTTCAAAAAGACACTATCATAAGTCGTGTGTGGAAGCAATGGTTGAAAACCATTTTTCTAACAATAGCAGTTTCACTTTTGACGGCGGGTCTTGTATTCACTGTTACCTACTTAACGGTGTGTGGTAAGTAGAAAATTAGCATTTCAATCATGTGAGAGCTTCTACGTGTAATTGCAGATGAAATAATATCTTAAAGCCCTAATTATTTTTTCAAATTAATATGCTTAATCAAAATACGGTGATCTTCTCATATTTGCATATCTTTGACGGAAATGTTTCCATGAAAATATTATTTAAAAATATACTCCGGATATTCTGATGCTGATGAACGAGATCTGAATGCATATAATGGATTATTTTTCGTCCTATATGAAGACATCATTTTATTTTCTGAGTTCTGCTTTGAGTAGGAATAGTGTATCCGGTCGGGTGAAATGTCTTCGTTATCGTTACCTTGTGAAATAGCACGTTAAAAATCCGGCTCAAAACTGCATTTTTCCAATATCTATTTTTTTAAAGTAGCATGTTATTTCATATAATTATAAAGCATTTCTCATCAATAAACATAGTATTGCTTGTTATAGTTTGTGTTTTTTAGAGGAGAGGGGCTAAAGATACCAGAGGGACATTCAAACTCATAAATCGAAAATAAACTGACAACGCCATGGCTAAAAAAGAAAAAGACAAACAGACAAAGAATAGTACACAAAACACAACATAGAAAAATAAAGACTTAGCAACACGAACCCCACCAAAAACTGGGGGTGATCTCAGGTGCCCCGGAAGGATAAGCAGATCCTGCTCCACATGTGACACCCGTCGAAGGCTGTCCAGTGAGTCTTTACCTGTATATATCACCGTTAGTATTCCTTTGCCGGATACTTTTCTCATTGGCAATCATACAACATTTCATCATTTTGATACTTTCATATATGACTGAATAATCTATTTTCATATAAAAATAGTATTTTAAAAAAGACACAACAATCTTCTTTAATGTATTTTCTTGGATTTATTTTCTGGGTGATCGCCAAAACAAAACTTTAGAAAAAACATTACGTCGAATTATAATAACTGATACTAAAATGATTCTGATGAATGAACTAGATGCTAATAGAAGTAACATATTTTTTCACTTTTTAGAAATGATTTTTATGTCTAATTTAAGCGCAGCTAAAGCAAAGATTGGTCAACCTTGAAACACAATTTGCAGATTTTAAACAAGAAAATGAGATGAAACATCAGGAAGTTGAGAAACGAAACAATTTAACGTTTTTTGGTCTTCAAAAACAGAATAATGACAACACAGAACTACGTAAATATTGATTATCATAATACATATGTAAATACACTTCCTCTTGGATGAATACCTAATTCTGTCAAAAGTTTGCTATCAGGTCTATTTTGCTGAAAACAACTTACTATATCTCGGGCGAAGGAACTGTGAACCTTACAAAAGCCAATATACGATTTTGATCCAATTACAGTAAAGAAAGAAACATATCTAAAGCATATACATTTTTGTTACGTTCACATTCATGGAAATATAAAAATATCGTGTATTTCTTTTCAAAGAGTTCATTTTTGTTTCAATGAATCGGTTAAAATGATTATTGTTATCCTATAATAATATTGCGTTCTGATATCATTTCAACCACATCGATGGTCTTGTGGTAGTGTACTCGCCTTGAGTGCGGGAGGTCGTGGGTTTGAACCTCGACTAGTTAAAACAAAAGATTTTAAATCTATGTTTGCTGCTTTTCCGCTAAGTATGCGATATAAGGAGTTGAAGTAAAGACCGGTCTGCTTGGAGTCAGCTTAATATTTCTGGGTAGGATGACATGTCTTCCTATGGAATGTTACCTTGTGAACTAACACGTTCACAATCCGGCTCAGCGTGTCGGTCTGGTACACAGTAGGGTCCAAAATCATATCGTTGTATCCTCTTCTCGTCCTGAATATGTATTTAACTTGCCACTGGACATTAATAAGCCACCAATTCAGCCATGAGTCGTATATCATAAATTTGAAAAACGTATCATGTAATTTCATGTAATTAAAGATCATTTGTCAGCTTACTATATGGTTCGGGTTTTGTGCTTTATTGGTGGCTGTCAAGTTACACTGTAGCTATTTATATCACTGTTAATTTTTTCACTGGCAGAAACGTTTCTTATTGGAAATCATTCCAGATATCCTTACTTGTATATTTTCATACATGACTTTATAAGAGATTTATGTCTGAAAACAATATAAAAAAAATACAAAATGATCTTATTTGATCTCTGATTTATTTTATCGGTGATCGCTACAATTAAAGAAAACCTTAACAACTATAAAGAAACTAATTTACATTTCTTTACACATACGTGATAATAATTAAAGGAATACGACGTTTTATTCGGTAACAAGTAAATGGTTTAAAATTTTTCTTTTTTTAATTTTAGCTCAATTACAGCAGAATCTTGATTCACTGGATACAAAGTTATCAGTTCTACAAAAACAGATTAATTGCAACACACAACTACGTAAATATTAACCAGTTAAACAAATCTATGCGTATGCTTCTGTCACCGGGGAAACAGTGTGACTTGTAGGGTTGTGGAACAAGAGCCTGACTGAATGGCCTCTTGTTACTGAAACTGTGTGTTGCACCTGATCACACAACGAACGATTGGTCTGAATAGCAATGACAACTCTGACACTGAAACTCTGGTGAAAACTAACTCTTGAAACTCTGGAACTAGCGATGAATAAATCAATAATTCAGCATGGAATACTAATACTTTTATTACAGATGGACTGTGTTCAGTGTAAAGTCCTGAGTCCAAATCTTGCTTATAAAAATTATAAACAAGTATTTATACACAATTGAATTGACAAGTATAGACATAACAAATAACAATTAATTTGAGTAATATTGTTCACTGACAAGGATTAAACTATTTTTAGAACTTGAAGAATAAATTTAATTTACTAATCTGATTATGATATTTAAAAATATATAATAATGAAAAAGGTATAATGTCACTAATTAGCTAATAGAATAAAACATGTCACTCAATGTCCAAACTGAGAATTAAATTGCATATCAAAGCATGTTGATTTTAAGTCCTGGATATTAAATGTAAATAGAAACGAAAATATAAAATTAAACGAATTTAAAACACATAGAAATAAAGTCTAAATTATCAAAATTGAGAATTTTTATATTAAAGTCCAAAATATTAAACTGAAGCTGCATTTTCCCTGGTCACACTTCTTTTGATTTAATTCGTCGTACTACATAAATTTGCTCTGACGTCTATATTGCTGAACTCAGTTTAATATATCGGACGAATGAACATTAAACCATAAAAAAAATAAATACTCGAATTGTTGAATTACGATAAAGACTGAGGTATTCTTTAAAAAACTGAGGACGTTGTTTTATTTAAGGATGAATGAAAACAAGAATATAATCTCAACTTTTAGTCACTTGTCCCACTAGCATTCTAATAAAATATAGAAATATGTTGATGATCAAGGTAACCTGCACTTCAGATATGCGTCAGTTTAAATAAAAACTTTATAACATGTGTACATTGTATGGATCAAAATGTACAGAATGCTCGAAGAATAAATATGTGTATTACTACATGTAAACAGGAATTGAAAGAAATAGTTGTTGTCAAAACGAAAGGAGTCGGTTTCTTTCTAAAACCCAGTTTTGTCACAGAGTTTAAAGTATTTTATATCAAAATTGTTTGTTTTCGCGTATTTGACTTTTGATATACTGGAATTCCGGCTTGATTGGATTTTGTTCATAAATTCTGTATTCTCATGATTGTGTGAATATAATTAATTGAAAGGCGAAAAACAAGCCTGAAACGTTTGTAACGCAACATAAATCCATAGTTATCTTAACGCTTTCAGTATTGATTACGCAATTTTAATGTTGTATATTGAACAGCCTACTTGATGTTCTGTCATTCCAGGATGATTATATTTTTTTAAATATACTACTCTTCCTCAAGTTGAAAAGAGAATGAAAAAAATAAATTAAAAACGACCGTTTGAAAATAGTTATCCTGACCTCTTAAATATCGAACATAATTGCGGCAAGAAAATACAGAATTACTATACACTGTCGCAAAAAATATAATATATTTGTAGTAGGAGTCGAAAAACGAAGACAACAGTGCTCTTTTGACATTTCCTGTGTCCTGTTTCAAGCCGGGTACAAATAAAATGTGTTTTCAGACAATAAATGGCTGTTTTCTTTAATATGCAATTCTTAAATTTGTTCCAAGTCTGAGTGGAAATTGTCAACTTTGAATTTGAAGAGGACCTACAAAACATGTACATTATGCAACGTAATAAATAAAATTTAACGGAAACACATTATTGACATCACAAAAACGCCTGAATAAGGTTTTGCCAAATTGTTACGATTAATACATGTTCACTGCGACGTCGCCTCAGTGGTCTCGAGGTATTGAGCTAGTGTCTAGTGTTGAAGGTCAAATGTTTGATCCTTGGCCGGATCAAACAAAGAATTATAAAAATTGATATTTGCTGCTCCGCATCTAGACACGTGGTATTTAGAAGTAGTAGAACAGTCTGGTTGTAAATGGATGATATATCTTTCAATGAACTTTTACCTTTTGATCTACACATTCAGTATTCAAAGATCATGGTTAACTCTCTCTAAAGCAAAACACGCAATATAAAAGACATAAAATAGCAAGCAAAACTTAATCTAAAATTGAGAATGGAAATGTGGAATGTGTCAAAGAGACCAAAGAACAGAAAACAGCCCAAGGCCACCAATGGGTCTTCAACACAGCGAGAAAATCCCGCACCATTTACTATGTTTTTATAGGTTGTGAAGACGGATGGGAGCTGTATAACAAGCATTGTTATAAATTTGTGAGGGAAAAGGAAACACGCGAAAATTCACAGGTAATTTGACTGTTATCATTGGCAGATGAACTGAAGGGGACACACTTTTAATGAGAAGTAATATTAATTCGTGCACATTTTTTGTTTATATATATAAATAAATTGTTTTACAGGTCAGGTTAATGCTTCTCTTTAAGTCGCAAGAGTCGAATATTACGTAAATTTTTTGGAGGCATAAACAAGCTGGCAAAACTATGTCAATTTTGCCAAATTGAATAGAAATTTGAGTTTAAGTAAACTACCTTACTCATATGAATATGTTGTCTGATTTGTCTTTTAAAACCATTGTTTACTATAGGAGTATATATTTTTTTTATTAACAGGCAAAATGCAACGATGAATGTGCTTCTCTGGTAAAAATCGACGATGCACTTGAAAATTCATTCATACATTCCTCTGGAGGTATATATATAATTATCTTAAGCTTCTTTATAATTAATGATCAATTGCAATAATGAAATTACAACAAATATTTGTGTTGTTCAGTTTCCAGTTTTTATGTAGTGGTTAGCATGTTAGTATCCTGTTACTTGTCTTTTCGTCATTTTACATTTTTCGTTCTTTATCTTTGAGTATGTCACTTTTTAGAGTTTTGTTTGTTCCTTATCATACTACAGATCCATCTGTTTAAAAACTTAAAACTGCTTCGATCCAAACAAACTTATTATAGCAAAAACGACAATTAAACAATTAAAACAAATTAAAAAACTTTGTTATATCATTTTAACCTGACGCTTTTTTTGTCGTTTACATGTATCTTTCGACCCTCAATCTATCATTGCTTTACTTGGATTTTAAGCTAATTGATTTTATTTAATAAATACAAAAAGAATATAATTACTATCCTAATTCTAAGAGTAAAACTTAATTTTATGCTAGCATAACAAAACGTTAAATATTGCTATTCTTTATTCATCTATTGTTGTTATATAGGTTTGCCTTACACACGTGTGTCTAGGGAAGGTAAGTTAACTTCATTTATTTTAGATGACCATCAAATAATTTGCCATCTATATGATTATGATAGCAAATAGAACGGAATTGATGTGAATCAGTACGTTTTTTTATTCAAATAGGCGGACTCTAAATTTTATTTATTTAGGCGTATATACTAAATGAGATGAGAAAAAAGTGAGAATTCTTGAGAACGTTTAGTAAAAAAATCTTACACCTGAGTTAAAGCAGATACTTCGTGTCTGATCCCGTTGTCATCCTCCCCCATTTCTAATAAAAAAAAAAACTTTCAATTTTTTAAATAATGTTTGACATACATTTATTCCTCCAATGTCTCGATTTCCTGTAGGTCAATATATGCCTTTTCTATCATGGTTACTTGATAGAGGACTACTTCTTACAAAGCGTATATTGAATGAAAGGCTCTTTGTAGTAAAGTTGAAGTTACTAGTATTCCTTCGATCTTTGAATAGACGCCACCACGAATTCGTTGACTGTTCTGAAATATCTGTGTCAAAGACGAAAACATATGTGTTCCACTGATTGGAACAAACATCCGGTCCACTTTGATGTTTAGTGACATTTCCGGATTTGTTCTTGTCTATAAAAACACAATTGGTATCACTAGTGGAGCAGGAACTACTAAACGTTCCAGTGCATTTGAGTTTATCCCTGATTCTTTATTTGGGTTCACATTGTTTTATTGTCAGTATTCAGTGTAGTGTTTTGTGGACTGTTGTTTGTCTTATGATCGCGGTGGTGTCTCATGTTCTTCAAAGTGTGTTTTTTTAATCAATCTAGCTTTCTTCCAAAAAGAAATCCAAAATGAAACAACCATATGTTTTAAAAGTGAGTTACATTGGAAGTACAGAGATAGAAAAAGTTAGGACTGATGTATGACAAATAAAATGTTTACATTTCTGGAAATGGTTATCGTGTATATGGCCATGGTATGCGTCAATATCGAACTCATCGTAAATTTCATCGGACGATTTATCACTGGGTGTAAAGGAGTGATATTTGTCATGTGTAAATAAAGAAAGCTCTCTTGACTTCTCAAACACTACATATTTTTTCAGTCGTTGAACTGCAAACATGTAACGATATAATCATTAATACGATACCTAACTACAAAAGCACAAGCCAATAAATGATTTTGTCAATTGTGATTACAGTGCATGTATCGCAATTATTTTTTAACTCAAGTTCAAGTTGTGAATTGATATTTCAAATTGAAAACAGAAGTATTGTTCAAAGCTCAAATTCTTCGTATAACGATATTTCCCTTTCGTTATATTGGTATGTTTTTACCAAATAAATAGTGCAAATAATGTTGAATATTTTCAGAGTAATGCACATTCTTTCTATCTATCTGTCATAGAAGGTAACTTATTTAAGATTTTAAACTCGTATTGTTTCACGCAGTATTGCAATACATTGTCTTATCTGTAACGCCATTGTTTTATTTGTACTTAAATTCATAAAAATGAAATGCATAGTCTTTTTGTTTGAAATCATGTTATATAAAAAGGATACACTGAAATATGATATGAAAATACATTATATGGCAGTTGTTAGATTACGATGTCTAGCTGTGTCATTGATACTTACCAATCCTCTCCTTTATAATCATAAAAAAATCAAGCAAAATGTAGCATAATGTTGACGATACTGTATTGCAAATGTTCCATGTTTCATTTTACAAGCACTTTTTTTCTGAGCAGTGCACCGAGAAGTGTACTGGACCAGTGGTATCCGTAACGGAGGAACCAATTGGGTATGGTCTGTTGATGGAACGTCTTTTGCCTATGACAACTTCGCTTCGGCCGAACCAAACAATAGAAATGGCCAGGAAAATTGTATCAGCATGAGGAATGACGGAAAGTGGAACGATATGTGTTGTAGTTGTCTACTATACTATGTATGCGAAAAACATGGTTGAAGATAAAAATAAACAAATACAAACATTGGATTGGAAAATATCTACCTTTTTTTTCAGGAACTGCTTTGTTAAAAATACCTTTAATAAAATAAAAAATGTTTTAACGATTTGTGTTAGTTCAAACCCATATTCATTTCTTGAATGAAGTTTT